AAGTTATTCATCAAAAGGTGCAGATCTTGAGCTTGTGAACAGCAAAAGTTCAATATGTGACGAAGAGGATATTCGTTCCGGAGATGTTTCATAGTTCTTTCTTACACGTTCACATTACCCTTTATCAGTATTTTGGTAGGAACTTTTATGTCACGTAGGATGGGATCATTATCTTTGTGTTTCCATTTTCAAGCCATCTTGCTATTTTTGGAAAAGCCCTTTTCCCATACTTGGTCAAGAGAATCTGGTCACTTTATTAGATTTTCTGTTGTAAAGGTCTGGCAGATTACACGCAGACTGTAATCGGTTAGGAGACGAGGCAGCTTTGCGCTGGTGCTTGGGCTGTCTTACATTTGATGTTTTCCGATTTTACTCTCCTCTTCTCTACACACAATGCTTTACAGTACCATAGGTATTCTTCTTTCTGAAATAAAATATTTAATTGGGTAACTAGACTTTTATGTTGCCAATCTCAAGTGCCTAATCTTATTGCTATCATGATCATGATTTTGGCCTGTTGTTGTCTTCTAACTGTAACGCTACACAATAGGCTATCTACATTGTGTCACTGCGGGGAATCGAATCCCGTATTTTAGCGTTGTAAATTCGTAAACTTATCGCTGACCCATCGGAAGACATCTTGACCTGATAAGAAAATGTTTTCATCTAAGAGATTAACGGTCCTTTGTATAATTTTTTAATTGTTGGAGTTATCAGTGATCCTCAAACCTTCGATTGGTACATCTGATATGGAAACTTACACATCAATGTTATTACATCAGTATTATAGTTTGTACTTAAGAGTTTTTTTCACATTCAAACATCATAAGCATTATGATGTAAGTCATGGAAACTCATTCCCACTGATGATTATGGCAATCTATTTTTTTCTAAGACGGTGGCACGATAATAGCGTCATTGACAAGGCCATGAGTCCAATGGATAGTTGACATTAAATAACATAAATGTGGACTTTTAAATACAGTTTTTATCCCTTCGAATTTTTTGGTTCTAGAGCTAAGTTTGTAGTTAATGTTGGTTGCCATGGTAACCTTGGTAAGCCACAGATTTGAAGATGCAACAGGCAATTTCTAAAACTAGGATTTACCTAAAACATTTTTATATATGTCTCGTGCTTTCATTCACAAAATCACATGAGACCTTTTTCTCAGCTCTTTGCTACTTGACTATACGGTTGAAAACATAATTAAAATTCATATTATTCAACTGATGGTGTATAGTAGAGTCTAACAACCGTAGTTTGCACCTTATTTGACGGATATGTTCCTATTTAGACTAAGCATCAGGCTCTGAATTCGAGGGTTCCTTGTTCACGTTCCTTTGTAGCGAAAACGCACGCGCTGAGAACTTTGGGGCCATGTGTTTGCTGTAAAAGCGACGGTTCAACTCTATATTCAGTCAGATAAAAGTAGTGCAAGAGCTCGTTGTGGTATTATGTGCACATAGAACTTGTTTAGTTTTGATGGAAATGCTAAAATATACAAACAAGGCATTAGTTATTAATTGCTTTTAAGTTTGCCTGATTTTATATCCTACATTGTTACTACTTGTATATTTAATTGATGCTAAATTACAGGGCAAATATAAAATCATTACATAGCTTTCACTCTTTTCTCAAAGCGTGAAAAGCTTATATAAATAAATAAATATATATATATATTACAGTTCACTTGAACGGGCAGGTCAGAGACACCTGGGATTTAGATATAACTCTCCATAATTTTGATCTACTGTCCAAAAGGAAAGCAGACAGCTAACAGTTCTCGCCATAAAAACAGCTTTATCAAAGCTCTTTGATCCGAATAACAGGATGGGTGGTCTCTTTTACAATTTACTCACAGCTGACAGTGCGATTGTTCAACAACGCAACACGTCTGGAATCCTGGTCGACACGCCCTGCTCTATATTTCACTGAGCGATCCAGTAAAATCAGGCTGTGTTGGATTCTAAACTTTGATTACATTTAAAAGTCGTTGAATGAAAACCCAAATACTTTTCTTGAATTCGGATAGCAGCTCATTACGTGATATCTCAGTCTGCTCACTACACTGTACACGAATTTAGACTATCAGTAGCTATTAATTTAACATTATATTTCGCATGCTTGTAAACATAAATATTCAAGGATTTTAGTTCTACAAGAAAATTACCATCTCATAGGCTGGTGTACCAGTATGTGTAACAGTAAATTATAAGGTGCCAAAATCTGCTGAGCTGACATTGAAAGGCATGGCGAAGAAATCAGCGGGGTTAGGGGTAGGAGTTGGTTGCCATTCAGGAAAACAACTACGAATAGAATATTGTTTGACAAATATATATTATATGCAATATTGGTAACAAATTTGAGTACTGAACTGAATTCCATTGCCATTGCTATCTTTCATTCAAAAACAACAACAAAGCAGTTAAAGGTATTTTCAGAAATAGAATTAAAAGAGTGAGAGTTATACTCCATTTTTAAAGTTGATAGTTTCTTATCAATATGGAGACCCTACATAAATATTTTGACGTCGGTGTGTTTCCTTTGATATATAAATATTACTCTCATTTTGATAAACAGTGTATCTATGTTACCATACAGATACTACTTTCATTTTGATAAGCAGTGTACCTGTAATTATATACAGATCCCACTTTCATTTTGATAAGCAGTGTA